TCTCGAACCCAAAGCCGAGAACCTGGCCCCTCACCCGGACACCTGGCCCGCCCCGCCTGCGCCCTCCATTCCACCCCGGCGTCCCCTGCCCGTGGGGGAGGGAGCGCAGCCCGGGGAGGAAGGGACTCGAGGACTGAGCCCTGACCGCGGCGGGGACGGAAGGCTGCGAGCCGGGCGGGGCGTCGCAGAAAGGCGCGCAGCGCTCTGGGCCTGGGTACCCGCCTCAAGTCCCACTCGCTCCTTGCACCGCCTCGGGCCGATGCGCCAGATTCCGAAGGGGCCCAGGGCCCCAGTTCTCGCTCTTTTCGTTTGAACAAGGTCCTCCGTAAGCTCGCGGCCTCCAAACCGTTTTCCCGTGAGGGTCCTCCAGGCCGCCGCGTGGATCGGAAGCAAAAGGCCCGAAGGGCGGAGGGGCAGCGGTGGCCCCCGGGGGAACCTGCTGCTCCGGCCCTTGAGAGCCTGTGACCATGCCTGCCATGTGCGGCGCCGGCGACGCCCCGTTTCGCACCGTTTCAGGAGGGCCACCACCGGACCCCAGTGTCCCGCAACCTTGTCTCGGCTCGGGGCGTCGCCGGACCACTGTCTGAAACAGAGAATTCGTGTGAGCGGAATTCCCGCTCTTTAACCTTCCTAAAACTCAGAAAACCGCGGGGGAACTGGGACTCGCAAATACTCGGTCGCGTCGGTCCGGCAGCAACGGAACCCGCGGGTGCGAGGAAACAGGCGGGGCGCGGTGGGGCAGTCGGGAGGCGCCAGCAGCCTCGGCGCGCACCTGCCCTGCACTACTTGCCCGCGTTCAACGAAAAGCGCCGCCAAGGCCCAAGCTCTGAGACCGAGGCCGGTCCGCCCCCGACTCCCGGAGGGACGACGCCCCACCTCCCTATCTGCGGGACGCCAGAGCTCTGAGCCCTGAGTGCGGCGATGCGGGGAAGGCCTGAGACCGGCAGTGCCAGGGCCGGAATCCGCCTAAGGGATTTCTGCAAACTTTTTAGGTTGGGAAAAAAAAAATTTTTTTTTTTTTAAAGACTTCTGGTCTTCTGTTTTGGCACTGAGCCCCCTCCCCCTTCTCTTCTGGCGTTGGAAATAGCGGGCAAGGAACTCTTTCTCCTTAGATCACCCCCTTCTTTCCGAAATGGCCACAACACAAAGTCAGGGAAGTCCTTGGGAGGCTGCTGCTTTCTCCCTTTCTCCAAAAGTCCCTCGAGTGGGCTATGTGCTGGTCCCGGTCAGGGCGATGGGTGCCACCTGTGGGGACCCTCCAGCCTGGCTCCAGTTCCAGCTCCAGACACAAAAGCCCCAGACTGTCCCTGACCAAGAGTCAGAGGCAAGGGCCGTCTGTCAGCTCTGAGAGCTCATTGGAGCACACCCATCCGTCTCTACTGCTACCTTCCAGAAAGTCTGATCCCAGGGGTCCTCCAACACACCTTGGAGGTGAAAGGAGACATTTCAATGAAGCCGAGATTTCCACAGGTCTACAAAAAGTTTTCTTCCCAGCCACGGAGCTTCTCCTATTTGTGCTTGATGAAACAGTACATGCAGGCCTCTCGAGTATGCCTTAGGGGAAGAAAGAGTAGGGATTCCATCGAATTGGGGTGGAGTAAATCCAAGGCGCCTGGCTCCTGCAGGCCTCTCAAGCAGGAGGTAGAACCAGGGGCTGAGATTGCCTTAGGTTCAGGCTGGCATCTATCAAATCCTCACCCAGTCATTTCCCAAGTCCTCTGTCCTGTGGCAGACTATCAGGGAGGGGGTTAGACAGGGAGGGGGCTTCAATTTCAAAAGACCCTAGCTGAGCTTGTAACCTTTATGGGTTAGCAGGCACTCAGCTGCCACTGCTGGCAAGAGGTTCTAGCCCAGACCTGCTAGAACTGGTTGGTTTCCTACAAATATGGGGGGAGGGGAGAACTAGTGACATTTGGACACACACCCATACATTGGGAAATGGGTTACAGGTTTTCTGTGCTTGCTCTGTAATGACTTTTGATATAGCACCTATATTATCCAAGATAGCAGGTCCCAGGTCTGTTCACCTGGCAGGGTTGGCTCTTGGGCTTAGTGTACAGGGGTTGCAAAAAGAGCAGTGCTAGAAGGAACAGTGAGTCTGAAGCTCCAGAAAAGTTACAGAAAATCTGCCTTCGCTGAACATAGTCAGGATCTAGCCCTGGTGGAAGTTTACTCTTGAAACTGCAAGGGTCTAGGGAAGCATATTCACAGTGGAAGCGGTGGCTGAGGTTGCAAAGATTACTCACTTTTTCAAAGTTAGTATTCTTAGATTCACCCCAGCCCAGAACCAGGGGGGGCCTGAAAGATCATGCAGGCCTTGTCTAATTGTGGGAGAGAATGAGGTGGAGCAGACTACAAACTGGCCTAGTGTCTAATACCAGGAAGTAACTGCCCAGTCCCACTCACCTGCACCAGACCAAGTTGCTCCCACACAGCCTCAGCCTGATTTTGCCAGGATGTAAAATGGCCATGGCTGGGGCTGGGACCAACCTCCCAGTTATTAAACCTACAGCTAGCTAAAGTAGAGGTCTTGAGAAGAGTACTTTGCGCCTTCTTGGGGGGTTAATAAGGTGGGCTCTGAACCTCAGTGTAGCCAGGGCAAGTAAATTCTTTTGCATGTCTCTCAGAGTCCTTGAAGCCCAACTCTGGGGTGAACCCTGTTCAAGAGCACACAACACTCTGGATAGAGTGGTCTGGATGCAGCAGGGCTCCTACCAGACCACAGACACAGACTCTGAAGATGCCACCGGGATTTCTGCAAGGAACTGTCCCTGCAATAGGCTTGGAACATACTTTGACAGCCCTGTGGTCTCAACACACCAGGGCAGGCCCCCAGAAGCAAAAGTCTTAGGCAGAGTCCCAAGGATCTCTCATGTATGCAACCTCTCCCCCTAGAACACTTCAAGAATTTTGGAGCAAGAGGGAAACTCTTGCGCATGCACACGCGCGCAACACACACACACACACATTTAGAGGAATAGGAGCTTGCTCATAAACACTAAGCAAAGACAAAACTTGAACTCAGGGCTCTGGATTCCTATTTCAGTGCTCCTAGCACAAACCTCCGCGAAAGCTTAAAGAAGTAAGAATGAAGAAATGTCGCCTAGACACAGGTTTCACAGTCTTAAGCTAAGGGCAGAGCCTGGTTTTGTGTTGGCTTCGGTCCTGGCAAGGGGAGCATGAATCGGCTCAGGCCTGCAACAGCTCAGAGCCAACAGGGGAAACGAAGTGGAAAGGATCCGTCCGGGAAGGAGTTCAGAACCGTAGACACACTAGCAACACTCCCCTCGTTTCCATCCGCAGCTCTCTCCCACCTCCTCTGCCTGCCCAAACTCTCCCAGAAATCCAGCAACACGTGTTTCCACACTGCCCTAACAAAGAAGCAAAAAAAACAGGACCCCCTTTTTAAGCCCCTCATTCCATGTTGGAAGTGGCCGGAGCGAGCCCGAGCTGAGAGGCCGAAGCGGGGGTTCTTGCCTCCACTCCGTCCTCCCCGACCACCCACGGGAGATGCGCTACGACCGTCCTAGTCTCCTGGCCCTCGCCTGCCCGTGGGCAGACTGCGGGAAGAGTCGACCAGAGTCAACTTCCGTAGAGGCCACATGGAAATGCTGGGAGCTTCTCCGGCCGCGGGATCGGTGGGACCCGTGGGGTTAAGTCTGAGTCTCCGCCCGGCGAGGACTGAGAGCGACGAGTTGGGGCGGTACCGGCCGCGAGGCAGCCGGCTGGGTTAGGAGAGGGAGGCAAGGCGGGATCCTCCTAGAAGTAGATTCTCAGGCGTCCGCCTGCCGCCACTGCCAAATCTTCCCCCACTGCTCTCCCCTACTCACTCCCCCTTTCCCTCGAGGACCGCTCGGGTTCGGAGTTCCTAGGATGGGGGTGGGGCGCGGTCATCTAGAAAAGCCAAATCTTTGAGGGGCGTCCGAGCACGTCCAAACTCTCCCATCGGACTGGCCAGTTCCTGGGCAGAATCCACGCCGCAAACCGTGGCCCCAGGAGGGTCGTGGTGACCCAGAGTGGGGCGGAGGAGCCCGGTGGGGCCTTTCGAAAAGCTGCCCCAAGTTTCTTCCCCCTCGAGGCTCCCTCCACCCACTCTTCCCTTCTTCCCGACACCCCCTTAAACCGTCCTCCGCCTTTCCTTCTCCCCTCTTCCCTCCCCACTTCGGTCCTCCCCTTTTCTTCCACCCGCATCTCCACTCCGCCCCCCTCCCGTGTCCGTCTCCTCCCTTGCTCTTTGGGCGTCCGCCCCGTCAATCAGCGCCGCCGCGGGCCCCTGCCCGGCCCTCTCCGCCTCCTAGGCTCTAGGAGCGCCTCCGGCTCCTGTCTCCGGCCGCCCTCCGCTTTGCGCAGAGCCGGGCGATCTGTCAGCGGAGCCGGCCGGGGGGAGCCGCCCGGCCAGCCGGGGCTCGGGTTACTAGTGACTGACAGCGTCTCCATGGCGAATAATTTGACTCCGACTATTGTCTGGCGCGGGCAGGCCCCGGGTCAGATAACTAGACCAATCAGGGCGCGGGCCGCCGCGCCTCATGCCCGCTTAGAATAATATTATTAAAAAAAGCAGCGAGCGAGCTAGACGGGAGGGAGAACGAGCGAGAAGAGAGCGAGGGAGCGGCGGGAGTGACTGACAGCGTCTCCATGGCGAATAATTTGACTCCGACTATTGTCTGGCGCGGGCAGGCCCCGGGTCAGATAACTAGACCAATCAGGGCGCGGGCCGCCGCGCCTCATGCCCGCTTAGAATAATATTATTAAAAAAAGCAGCGAGCGAGCTAGACGGGAGGGAGAACGAGCGAGAAGAGAGCGAGGGAGCGGCGGGGGGAGCCGCAGCCGGCGCGGGCACTTACTGCAGTGACTCGAGTTCGCCGGGAGCAAGCGCCGGGCCAGGAGGCCCGCCCCGCCCGCTTCTCGGCCCGGACCGCCCGGCGGGGAGGCGCCCATGCCGGACAGCGCAGTACGGTGAGGACGTGCGCGGGCGAGCGGGCGGGGGCGCAGCCGGCACCATGTCCATGCTGCCCACCTTCGGCTTCACGCAGGAGCAAGTGGCTTGCGTGTGCGAGGTGCTGCAACAGGGCGGCAACATCGAGCGGCTGGGCCGCTTCTTGTGGTCTCTGCCCGCCTGCGAGCACCTCCACAAGAATGAAAGTGTGCTCAAGGCCAAGGCCGTGGTGGCTTTCCACCGCGGCAACTTCCGCGAGCTCTACAAGATCCTGGAGAGCCACCAGTTCTCGCCGCACAACCACGCCAAGCTGCAGCAACTGTGGCTCAAGGCGCACTACATCGAGGCGGAGAAGCTGCGCGGCCGGCCCCTGGGCGCCGTGGGCAAGTACCGCGTGCGCCGCAAGTTTCCTCTGCCGCGCTCCATCTGGGACGGCGAGGAGACTAGCTACTGCTTCAAGGAAAAGAGTCGCAGCGTGCTGCGCGAGTGGTATGCGCACAATCCCTACCCCTCACCCCGTGAGAAGCGAGAGCTGGCGGAGGCCACGGGCCTCACCACCACCCAGGTCAGCAACTGGTTCAAGAACCGGCGGCAGCGCGACCGGGCAGCAGAAGCCAAGGAAAGGTACGAGTAAGTAGAGCTCCGGCGCCAGCTGCCCCTGGGCTCGAGGGAGGGGGTTGCAGGGCGTCGGCTTTACCCCCAGTAGAGGCCTAAACTGGGCCCCTAGTCCCGGCCATCGCCAAAGTGCGCCCTGATCTGACCCAGCGCTCGGGTCTTGCTGAAAACCAGGAAGGCAGGGATTTGTCTAAAGCGGGCAAAGCAAATCGAGAAGTTGTCAATTAACTCCTTGGTCGCTTGTGGACAAAAGTGGAGAAGCGGTGAGCTTCGGGGCAGAGACAAAACAGTGAGCCTGGATCCCCTGCAAGGGGAGCACAACAGGCAGGACCTAATAGTCCTCCGAAGGACTGAGGAATTTGGGCCAGGGCTATTGAGGTTGAGGATTTCAGGCTGCCTGTGCGAATGCACCAACACTTCCCGCACTTTACGTCGGCCTTACTCAGCTCTCCACCAAAGTGACATTAGAGGTCAGGACTGGGATTGGAACTTCCCTGGTATAACCTGGTTATGGAGAGACCAGGGCAAGAATATTCCTTGTATGGATATAGAATTGATAGCGAGTCTTTTATCCCGCATAGAAAGAACCAGGAGGCAAAATGTTTGAGGAGGAAATGTCAGCTCTGGGAGAGGAGAGAAACACATGCCCCTATTTCTGCCTTGTTAGACCCAGCAGCCCTTCCCTGGCCTGCCAGGTCCTTGCTCCCCTCTCCTCAGACTCTACTCTCTTTGGTGAGTAGATGGATAGGTCTGGGAAGAGCTGAGAACAGCAGAGAGATTGGGAGTTGCTTGTCTTCAGGGAAACCAAAACTTTCTGAACTAATATAATTGTTGACCATTAGGCCCTTGTGGCTTCCAGCCCTGTTGCCCCTCAGAATCCCAAATATGGAGGGGGAAATAGGAAGGAAACTGATCGTGGAAACAGAGTCCAGCTAGAGTGCAACAACAAAACAAGATATTTGGAGTGGATGGTGTGAGGTTTGTGTAGCCCAGAGTTTGCACGATCAGGGTCCGGTGGGAGTATCTGACAGTGGAACCAGATCTCTGGAAAGGGGTGGACCAGGTGGACCCTGGTCTCTGAGACTACGATATTGGGGTACCCACAGCTGTAAGATCTCGGGTGCCAGTCCAGTGGCAAGTTCTCTTCCAAAAAAACAGTGGGGGAAAAGGCCTTAAGACGCCAGTGAAGAGAGAGCCTACCCAAGATTTCAAATCTCCAATCTGGGCAAGGCTGTCAGTCAAAGGTAGAGTAGGAAGGGGTTTTCCCTGCTGGGGTCCCCCTCCTCCCAGACTGGCATGCATCCAGACTCCTGAAGAACTAGGTTCTCAGGCCAGGCCCCAGGTGAGGGCTGCAGAGTCCCTCAGTTTCTGATACGACAGGAAAGTTTAGGCCAGGATTAGCAGTTCCCTCCGTTGTCCCTTTCCCATTCTCCTACGACCTGCCCTCCTAGCCCCCAGCTTCCAGTCCCCCAGCTTCCAGTCCCCCAGCTTCCAGTCCCCCAGCAGAAGTTTCCACTGTGCCACCAGGAAAAAGGAGTCCTACATCCTTAGGGCCTTGTCCTAGGCCCAGCGAGGGGAGCCCTCACTAGGCCTCCCAGTTTGGAGCTAGAGGGAAAGGACCCTTAGCTCCAGGAACCTGTCCCCTAGTCAGGGAATTCCCTCAAGCGGAGAAAAGCGAAAGGAGATGAAGGCCTCTGCGATCCCCCACTTCAAGTGGGGCCTTCTGCCTAGTATCCAGCGTCCCTCACTCTCCTGCCCCCACTTCTACCCAGCAACCCCTGGCTTGAAGAGTGTGACCTGAAAAGCCAGGCATCTTCTCTTCCTCCCTGTCCCCACTACCCATCCAACTCCAAGGAGCCCTGCTCCGCTGCCCTTTTGCTCTGGGAAAGAAACGTTAGCAACTCAGTGAGGGGAGAGGGGGACAACATACAGAGAGCAAGAAAGGTTTTCATGCGATTGAGAGCAGGAGAGGTGGGGAGATGCAGATGATACAGGGAGAAGAATAAGAGCGAGAAATCGGTGTTGAGAGATGGACATAACTGGCAGAAAGAACGAGAGCCCCAGTCCAGGCCGAAGAAATGGTAGAACCGAACCCCGGCAGTCAGCGCGCGGTGGCTCAGGCTGCGAGGCCGGCGGCGGGCTCCGGCTCCAGGTGTCGCGGGGCTGAGCGGCCTCCGCTCCCCACGCTGACCCGGCTGCTTTGCTCCTGCACTTGCAGGGAGAACAGCGAGAACTCCAACTCGAACAGCCACAACCCGCTGGCGGCATCTCTGAATGGCAGCGGCAAGTCGGTGTTAGGCAGCTCCGAGGACGAGAAGACGCCGTCGGGGACGCCAGACCACTCTTCGTCCAGCCCCGCGCTGCTGCTTAGCCCGCCGCCGCCACCTGGGCTGCCGTCCCTGCACAGCCTGGGCCACCCGCCGGGCCCCAGCGCCGTGCCGGTGCCCGTGCCGGGCGCAGGAAGCGCGGACCCGCTGCAGCACCACCACGGCCTGCAGGACTCTATCCTCAACCCCATGTCGGCCAACCTCGTGGACCTGGGCTCCTAGAGCCCCACCTGCCTGGAAGTGCTGGCTGTCCGGGCTTGGCGCTGGGGACCTTAGAGACCGTGTCGGGAGGGCGCCAGGCGCCGGTGGCTCCACCAGGTTCTGAAAGACCCACAAGCTGAGCGGGCAGAACCGCCGGCCCTGGCAGGGCAGATGGCTGTCTGGTTTGGTCTTTGTTCGGGATTTATTTTCGACAAGTTGTTTTTGAGATCCTTTGGAGGTCTGGGACCGGGTCTTGAACCAGGGAAGGGAATAAATTATACACCGTTCGCATACGCTCTCTCCCTATCTTCTCTTGCCTTCTTTTCTCTTTCTTCCTCTTCCTTTCTTTTCCTTCTCCTTTTTCTCTCCTCTTCTTGCTTTCCCCCTTCACTGTCTCTGTTACCCTTTATATTTCTGGCTCGTCATCTCTCACTAGGTTTCTGTTTCTCTGTTGCTGTTTGTTTTTCTGTCTCTCCTCTCTGCCAGCCTCCTGCACTCCTAGCCCCTGGGTCTGTACCCCTCAGTCTTTTCCTCCTGCCTGGCCTTCTATTTGCCCCGCTCCCATCCCTCACTTTCCTGGGGTGGGGAGTGGGAGGGGAAAAGCAAAAGAAAGACAAGGCATTTGCACCCAGGCCTTCTCCAGAGGCCCTCCCCGGGGAGCATAGGGGCTGTTGGTGTCAGCTTTGCTCCGAGTAACTTAAGAGGAAGGGTGGCCATAAGAAGCCCCCTTGCCTCTGGCCCTGTCTTTTTCTGTGAGGCCCTGCCTGGGCTCTGCCCCTCCCGGGACTGTGGCCACAGTGCTCCCGGCAGAGCCTGCCTCCGGAGCCTCGGACTTGCCGGCTCGCTCCCTTTTATGCCTTCCTGTGAATGTTCTTTGGGAAATATTTCTGCTTTTATTTTATAATAAAATTAGAAATCATAAATATATATGGATATATACCACAAGGCCCGTGAGCCATGAGTGCAGCAGTGTCTGATTTCCTTACAGGGACTCGACACCCCAGTGGACCGTCCTAGGCAGCGATGCCCCACAAGTCCCCTGAAAGCCTCAGACGCCTTCTCACATACACAAAGTGTGTCAGTCGCAAAGTGAAGGGTCTGAAAACTAGGAAACCTCCTCCCCCAAAGCCCACTGTCCCTTTTCTTGTTCCGGAAGTTCCCTGCAGAAGGTGGGGCGGGGGGCGCAGCCTGCTCCTTCTGGGGACTCTTCTTCCCTCACTAAACCAGCAGTACCCTCGCAGCCTCTTTCTTCACCTCTGGGATCTTGGCTAGGAAATGGGAGGGGCTGTGTGGGGAGCATGAGTACCTGTGTTGGGAGATACTGAGGCTGGAGAGAAAATGGGGCGGTGGAGGTTTCCTAAAGGGGTGGACTCCTAAGTGGTTGTCGCAGCCCCCACAATCAGGCGCGACTCATTGGGCAGATTCGCCGGCCCCAAGGGGCAGCGGCTGATCCAGCAGCAAAGCCCTGGTCTTGTGTGCGTGGTGGTGGAGCAAAGGTCTCCAAGTTCAGAAATCTGTCCGTTTGGAGTGGAGATGAAGGAGTGGGGAGGAGGGAAGGCAGAAGAGATTCGGGATGCTGTCGGAGCAGGCGTGTATTCTAAATCAGAGCAAGCAGGCGCTAGGGCTCGGCTGGTCAGGCCCAGGGGATACCTGCATGCTTCGTGAGCCCTAAACGCGCCTCTGTGGCTGTAAATTAATCTGCAGCAACTTCTCCCCTCCGGGGGTATCAAGCCCCCCACCTCCTATTAAGCAACACGTCTAGCCGGTCCAGGCGAAGCGGGCGGGACTCCTCGAGGAGGAAGTTGAGGCCTTTCAGGTCGTAGTCTCTCTAGGTACCAAAAGTGTCCTACCTCTGCCACCAGGATGTTTAGGATCAAACCTGCAAGGCACAGACGGGAAGGGAGGGAGGGTATGAGGCACTGTTCCAGCCAGGTGATCTCGAGTGTGGGGATCTCTCGGGGCTTTCCTCTCTGGTGAAGTCGGCGCTCACCGAAGATCTGCATGGACTTTCTAAGTATCAGGATTTCTTCCCAACTGAGAGTCTCACAGACGCGGGTGGCTGGGCTGGCTAACTTGGTGTGGAGGATAGCCTCGGCCTTCGCTTCATGCAGGCCCGGAGGCCAAGCGAATGAATCCCTAGCCGCTAAGACTGCTTCACCTGGGAACTCACCAAGTACCTCCATGGCTGGGCACCCTGAAAGGAATTCCAGCCCCGGCAGCTCCCACAGCTTCTCCTGGACGCTCTGCTCTCAAGGGACAACTCAGCTCCTCCTGGGACCTGGTTTGTACTTGTAGGGCCCGGAGGCCAACCTCCGCTGTCTGGGGTGAAGAGGCACTACTGCCTGAGGGTCTGGAGAGGCTCAAGGGAGGCAGGAAACCAAGTACAGCCAACAAGCCCAGGCTTTCTTCTGGAAAGGGGGAAATGCAGTAGCTCCTGGAGCCAGCATGACCGCTACCTGCCCTCTGTTTTCCAGAGGCACCCACAGGCAAACAGGCTGTGTGTGTACCAACTTTCGCAAGGACACAAGCATACACATTTATAACTGGATTCACTGATACTGAGAGCATGATATGTGCCAGGCACCGTGGATGGCACCAAAAAATACCCCCTCACACATAGTGGCCACACAGGGTAACACAGACTCTGTCACACATATGTTCACAAGCACACATTCATGCAGAGAAGCAAACACGGACCCTCGACCCATTTTCACAGACACGCTAATATGTCCTCAGGTGAAACAGACACCTTCCTGCACGGATTTACCAGAGATACATACACAAATAAGTGACTTCTAAACATGTGTGCTCATGCACACATACACATAAATACACATCATACTTTTCTCCAGAAGCACGCAAATCCACATTTTTCTAGTGTCCCTGCCAGCAGCCAGTCTCAGACCAGCCACCTGCTGGTGCCAGAGCCTGGCCTTGCAATGCAGCTTGCGGGCAGGTCTTGGCACCAGGCAACGAGTCCCAGAGAAAGAAACAGTTCTAGTTCGAGGCGGCAGAGGGTCAGGGATCCCACCTGCGGCACCTTCTCTCCTACCCGCTCAGGTGGGATCGCGGGAGTTTGCCAGGATCTCTTACTCACCAATAAGGGTCAGGGCGCCTGTCCCCGAGCTTTATTCCATAAAGCAAAATCCAGTATAGCCCTGAATTACTTGCTGCAACTTCTCTCTTGCCTTTCCACTTGGAAAGCTAACCATGAAGGAATTTGTTTAAATGGAGAAACTATACAGAAGGACTGAAATTAAACCCGAGCAGCTACTCACACGCTGCATAAATCTCTACAAGCCAGTCCTCCATTCCACACTCCCTTGGACCAAGAGAGAAGCTGCGACCCCAACCAGAGCACACCAGCTGGACATAACTTTTGCACAGATGTAACCAGGTGAATACAACTGCTCCCCGTTGGCGTCCACCAAACAAGGTTCCCAGTTGCTTGTCACCACTTCCCTCTGCTTCCCTCACTTCGCAGCAGCAAAGAAACCAAGAATTTTGCTCTATGACCTAAGGGGAGCCTGAGTGTCCCTCTCTGCTCCAGTGACCGCGTTCGCCTTTCATTTGTTCCCAGGTCCCATACCCATGCAACCCACAACCCTCGAAGATGAAACCAAATGAAGAAGATAGAACCCAGCCCTTGAGGGCAGCTAGCCAACTCATCTCCTTGGGGGCTTAAAAGCGGAGGGCTAGTGACGACACAGGAGAGCATGGGGGCTTGTCATCCTTCCTCTTCAGTTACCTTTGTCCAACCCCATGGCCTGGGCTAGGCGGCCCTCACCAGGATTCAGGTCGGGTCTGGACCCTGTTGTCCTACCCTGAAGCGCATCTTGAGGAGCTGGCAGGTTACCTAGGGAGCAGTTGGTGATGGTGTGCCAGGCAGGCGAAGGTTAAACAGAGCCAGGGAAATCTGGGGAGAGAACACCAGGCTACCCAGTCCTCCGTTTTCCCCAGCCCCTGTAAGAAACTCCATTTGGACCCCTGAGAAAAGCAGGGACCATCCGAATGAGGGCCCAGATCCAGGAAGCAGGGAATTAGGCTTCCGGGACCCCATCAACTCCCACCTCTTGCCAACATGCTACTGGGGCTCCGAGAGGGGAAAATTTGAATTTCTTTGTTGAATGGCAGGTGGAGGAGAACTAAGAAGGACTTGGGTACACGACCCGGCCCCTTCCTTTGTCGTAGTCCCCATCCCAATGCTAAGGCTTCGGTCCTCTGGGCACTCAAAGCTGCCTAGGGATGCTGGAAGGGGACACCAACCAGTGCGTGAGGATCTACTAGGATCAATGGCATGAGAGAGTGTGTGGCCTGCAATAGAGTGAAAAAATGCGCTGGCGTGCATAGATGGGAGGTCGTGCATCTTAAGAGTAGTAGGCGTGCGAGCGAGCGAGCCAGTGCGCCCCAGTGCGCCCCAGGGCACTTGGAGGAGCCAGCAAAAGTCAGGCTACGCCTGAGCGCTGCGGCTCATAAAGTAGAGGCGCCTGGGGCTAGAGGAGGACCAGCCTTTCCTCTGGCGTCACCAGAACCCAACCCAGAGGGAGGGGATCCTGATACCTGGAGCCTCTGCCGACTGCGGCTGAGTGAGTGGGAAAGAAGGAGAATCTCTGGGTCGTGGCTGACAGGACACAGAGCAGTGGAGCGGAGCCTGGGCGCGAAAGACCTCGAGTCCTGGTGGCAGGGTCGAGGCTTCACGAGAGTATCTCCTCGGAACTCCGGAGGTCCCTGCGCGATTGGAACTCGGAAATGGTCTCCTGGATTATGGGGATGGAATCAGAGTGGAGAGGGTGAGATTGGGTGCCCTCCAATGGAGCGAGTTTTCCACTCTTATCCCACAATCTCAGCAGCAGGGCTGCTCTGCCTCTAGGTAGAGCCGGCCTCGCAGTCCAGAGAGACTATGTAAACACCGTGTGGATGCGCCCAAAGGCCCGCCGCGCGATGTCTGGCAGGCGCCCCTAGTTGCCCCAAAGAATCCCTTTCTTGAAGGGACCCACAAACTTGAGACTGATACAGGGTGG